AAGATGAAGAGATGGTTAGAACTCATTCTTGTGAGTTAGACACTTACTATTGGGGTTTAGGCCTCCTTTATTTTCTGGTCTTATTCATTATTGGTTTTCCAGTTTCCTGCTGATTCTGTGGGCTCCCAATTTCTTTCTAATAATTTCTAACTTGGTTTTCAGTTATAACAGCCACAATATGACTCTACTATTTGAAACCAAAAGTCATCACTGATAAAAGAGTGATTGAAAATAATCTGATCTCAGATTCATGCCTCATCAGAAATTCTCTTAAAAAATTGAGTTTTGTCTCTTTGTCATTCTGGGTCTCAGTTTCTACATTTATAAAGTGGGACAGCTCACAAGTTTKATTCTTGGGAAATTAGTCTGCAAGTTGTTCCTGAAAAAAAAAAAAAGTTTCTTTTTCTAGAGAACCTAAAACATGTTGGCCTATTTGAGTTTCTGGAAATTTATCCAGGAAAGGATTTAATTTAACTTTAACCCAGAATTTTCCAAGATTAATCATGGAAGTYTTGTTTCAGAAAACATTAACATTTAATAGGCTATCTTGGCAAGAGACATTGATTCCAGCAGTTCATTTGATTTTTTTTTTTTTTTTTTTTGCATGCACCTGATCCTGGACTTTGGCAGTAAACACACATAGAGTCTCTGTACTAACCTTTYATAGTAAGGATGCTTAAACTTCTCTGCATTTAAGGACAATTTAAGGGGCTTTTTTAATAGTATATGTTACTATAGTATAGGTTACTAAGCACTATATACAAGACCTACTAATTCAGAATCTCCTGAAATAGACACCAAGAATTAAAGCTCAGAATTACTCTGTAGGTGATTATGTTGTAGGCCTTCATCTTCACTCTGTAATACAATGAGAAACACTGTGTCATTGAACATTTTAGTGGAACATATCTTTCATTGGCTTATGTCCTTTATCATTAGATGAAGCTAGAAGTCATGATCTCAATAATTTATCCACAAGTGAGACCATTCACCATCTCTTATGAGCAATAGATGAGGGAAGTTCATAGACAACTTGTGAGTRTCCACTGAAAAGCAACTGAGTAGCTATGATCACAAATTCAGTAAGACATAACATTAAATGTGAATATAGATGCAACCATAGGATCAATAATGTGAACAAACTTTGGTTAAAGTCTAGATACTCAATAAAAGAAGTGGGTTTTCAATGTCTCCCTTACTCCTGCTACCTACTTATAGTTTCTTTATTCACTATTAACAAAGTTAGTGAAAAATCAACGTTAAAGAAGTAGCAAAGAAACTTATGTCATCTAGTTTCATGACTTATTAACAACTCAAAGAATCTGATGATAGGAAGTCTGGAATGAATAGCTAAATGTTATTTTTAGACTATCTGTGAATTTTATTTGTTCTCTTTACCACAAGTGATGAAAAATTAGCTGTCAGAAATTTCAAAATTAGACTGCAAAACATGATAGAAAAACAGGAATTAGTGGTGTCATCATGTCTTGAACAGTTTTTTTCTCTTCAAGTAATATGATGAGAATAATGCTGCAATTCTTCACAATATTATATACATTTTGAAGGAAAAAAAATGTGTTATGGAGATCAATGATATTTATTGGACATAAGCAAACATTGTGTTCCTAGGTTGCTAGCTATATTCACTGTAAGAAAATCCTATAGCTGATTTTCAGGATTTCACAGGAATTTACTTTTATCTTTATAGCTCAAAATGTACAAATAACTTGTTTATAARTAAGTTGCAGGATTACAACCTAACACCTAGAATATTGTGTTTTATTTTATTTTAATAACCAGAGTTACAAACTCTTTCCAACTGGGAAGTGGTGATAAATGGTGCGGTGCTTACTCTTCAACAACTCTATAGAACTGGCATCCTGATATTTATTTGCATGGGCTTCACATCACAAAATGTGCACACCCTTCTTTCTAAATGGCTTCAAACTTTCCAGAAACAAAACTGTGAGCTTCATTTTATTCCTCTTGCTACACAGTAGGTTTTGTCTTCTACATAGAATATATTAACACCTAAAAATAAACAACAAATAAAATAGTGCATACATTATAAGTTTCACAAAGTTACAGTGATTCTTATTTGCATGTTTATATTTGATTGAATATTGTAACTGCCATTTACAATGTAGCGTAAACAGGTAAAATTTAAAACTACCATCGTAACTTTGGTGTGACTGTCACTTTATAGAGTGGACTTACATATCTGTGTAAATTGGGAATTTAACCTTTTTTTCTTTTTTTTTTTTCTTAATTGCAAGATTTGTATTGTTTCAAGGGTGACTGCATTCCTTAGGCTGTGACATCATCTCTGGAAAACATGCATGCTGCCCAACTGAAGAGTCACTAATCAGATCTAGGGGATGTATGTTCAATTTTTCAAGTCTTCACTCCCATCCCAACTATTTTTCAGACCCTTCCTTTGAAGCTTCCAAAAACAAAATCATAGCGATTCAAATTTGAAATCAAAAGAAAKTTATTAATGATGTAGAGTTGGATTTAATTTTTATTCAGTGTGCATTGCTGGTAGTAGAATTGAATCAGTTTTTGAGGTTCAAGTCTCTCAAAAGGGTCTGCTTTGTAGTTCTAGAGCACTTTTTCCAACTGGGCTTCTGGTATGATGAGCTTGTTTTGTGCACCCCAATGTGCAATCTACACCTGAGAAAAGGGGAGTTTTCGATGTTGCAGTGTATTAAACAGGTACTTTCCATTCACTCAGTTAATAATCAGAAAACAGAAAGAAAAGAAAGAGAGCCTCCTACTTGTTTTCTTACTCTAAACAAGGAGATGGAAACTATTAAATAAGGAGGGAAACTCCCGCATATTTCACCTTGACCTGGCTGGACTGGTCTGATGTCTGGAAGAGGTGGGTGTTCTATTAAAGAAAACGGATAAGTTACTAGTGGAAAAGTGAGAGGTCAGACTTCAAGATGGGGAAACAACTTGAGCTCCGAAAGGAAAAGGGAACCTTCATTACCCAGTCTCAAACTGGGAACAGTGTCTCCTTTCCAATTCCGGGGGCTGGGTTCCCTTTCTCTCCCTGGACTTAAATGGGTAGTGACAGGACTCAGATACTCTGCTTCCCCTATTGCTMCAGCCCAACACCGTTTTGCTCCAGCACCTAAATTTCTGAGCTGAAAGCAGTCAATCCCCTCCCACCTTGTCTCCTTAGCTTCTCTCTTGCTCCTTTGCTGCCTTGTGTAACTTCTTTGTTCCGTTTACTGGGAAGGTGGCGATTAAGGTCAAAAGACCCACTGTAACCAGCAAAAGCCYGGAGCCACAAACAGACCCTGGGGAAAAGCAAGGCTGTCCAACTCAGGGGCSAGGCTCTGCGTACAAGAGTAGCGAGAAATCTCGGCAAGTAGCTCCGGGAACAGCCCCTGCGGAATCCTCCAACTCTYGAAAGGCTGGGGAGACCCGGGACTGCATCGGGATGGGACAGAGGGCGAGCTCCTAACTCTGCAAGCAAAGTGGGCAGCGCACACTCGCAGAGCAGAGCACTGGAGGCGGGGAGAGGCCCCTACACTCCACTTTGTATGCAGCAGCTGCTGGGCAGTGAGTATCTCCGAACAAAGAGCKCGCAGTGCAGGAGTGAGAGTTCGCGGTTTGCTCACAGCTGCCACTCGTGCTGAGCAAGTCTCCCACCACACCCCCTGRACGAGCTTTGGGGGTGCAGGATTCCAGGGAAGAGGGAAAGGGAAAGCGGTGTGCTATTCCTGTTGCGCGGCTACGCACCAGGAATTCTTGTGAACGGTGGGAATGGCAACTATCCGATCCAAGGGGGAGAAAAAGAGCTGGAGTGAGCAAAACAAAGAGCGAGTGTGGGCCGCGGTGACTTCATGCCTCACCAATGTCCCGCCCACGCTACTCCGAGCTGTTGCTGCTGCCGCTGCCCGGGCGCCGCCGCCCCTACGGGCAACCCGGCAARGCGCACTATAGCGTGGGGCGGTTTCCTAGCAACTCCCGGCCGGAGCGCCCAGCTAACAGCAGGTTGGGACCCCCTCGGGGGTGGGGTGGGGGACCAGGAAAGGACCACCCCAATCCTCTTCAACCCCAACCTCCTCCACTGCATCCTCGCTGCGCACACCCCAGAGCACGGCAGCTGCCAGGGGTCTGGGCAGCGAGACGCCTGAGCCAAACTCTGGAGCCAAAAGGACAAGGGCACGAAGCCCCCGCCCCGCGAGGCTGGGCTCTCGCACCCCCGCGGAACCTCCCCTCCAGCGCTAGCGCCGTGAGCTCCAGTCCTGGCTAGGCTGGAAGCAGAAATGCCTTGCTCTGTGTTTGGGGGAGTCTACAGGCACTTCTAGAGCGCTCCCGGGGCCGCCTCCCCAGCCTCTGGCACCCAGAGCCTCAACCTTCACCAGTCAGAACGCTTTTGCCTGGACCTTGCCCGCTGCTCCGCTGGCGAGGCTGCAAAGCTGCTACAAAGTGGAGTTGGCCTCCCTGCCCACCTGTGGAAGAAGCTCGCGCAGATTGATGCGCCATCGACATTTTTCCCCTTCGACCTTCTGGCGTCCCCTCCCACAAATGCAGCATCACCCAGTGAATATACATTAGGGTGATTCCCCCCAGCCTCGGGCTTTGTTTGGGTTTGATTGTGTTTGGCTCTTGGCTAAGCTGATTTATGCAGCAGAGCCCCATCGGCTGGAGAGAAACAAAAGCTCTTTTCTTTGTCCCGGAGCGGGCTTTGGAGCCCTCGATCGCGTCGCCGCCGCTGGCCATCGGCCGTCGGAGGAGGTGCTTTTCGTGGAGACTCCAGGGCTGGCCGAGTGGATCTGGGAGGGCCGCKGGAGCCCTGAGATGCAGAGCAGTGCTCGGGCCCACGTACCTGCACAGTTTGCTCGGAGCCGCGAGATCCGTCTGCCCGGCCTGAGGGAAACGTCCTAGAGATTCCCAGTCTTTTGGCCCCGAGGTGCGCCCAGGAGGCAAGAGCGCGCTACAGGGAAGGAGCCTGGCGGCAGGCGCGGGTAGGGCTGCTTTGCATTATGTGCGGCTCGGCCCTGGCTTTTTTTACCGCTGCATTTGTCTGCCTGCAAAACTGCCGAMGAGGTGCTGCCTCATTTCTTCGGGCGGCCTGGGTATTTTCACTTGTTCTTGGACTGGGACAAAGCGGTAAGTTGTTTTGTTCTGTTTTCTTCTCTTTGCACCGAGTCTTGGGCTGGCACCAAGAGTTTCCTGGCCTGAGCATCCTGGCCAGGTAAGTCGGGGATGTCAGTCTATGTCTGTCCTGGGAACACAAGAAAGGTGTGTGTGTGTGTGTGTGTGTGTGTGTGTGTGTGTGTGTGTGTGTGTGTCAGCGTCCTCTACCGCAGGCGGCCTCAGAGAAACCAGGTGTCAAGCATTTCCGCCCGGAGTGACAGCAATAGCTAACTATACTGTGTATTGCTCCAGGGTGCTGAGAAAGCAGCGCCTGAATGGAAGTTCCGAAGGGAGGGTGTGGAGAGGGTTGCATTTAGGAATTGGAGTACATCCTCGAGGACATGATAGGTATATAATGTGCTCCACATCTTTCTAGTATTTGGGTCCACCAACCTTTCACTTCCATTTGAGACAAAGCTGTGGATAAACTGGTTGTTATAGGAGATAGTCTTCCTTTTTTTTTTTTTTTTTTTTTTTAGTCCGTGAAAGGAGACAGCAGCAACACACAAGTTTCTTGTATCATAAGGTTCATTCTGAGTAAATTGAATACTCTTGAGGAATATTCGTGCTTTAAGCCACCATCCTTTCAGCTTTTTCTTCAACAACAACAAAAATACTTTTGAAGCTAATTGATCCTTCACTGAGCTCACTCTCTGACTGAGAAGCAGTGAGAACCCTGGACCAAGGATTGACTTTTAGTCCAGGCAAGCCACCCTTCAGGCAGCATGGTGAGCTCCAATCCTGGTTAGGCTGGAAATAGAAACACCTTGCTCTATGTTTTAGGATGTTAAAATCAAGAGTTACCTTAAATTGGAAAGGTTAGTCCTTCATAAACCTTTTTATTTTTTTGTAGTCATGTGTAAAATAGGGACAAGAATACCTGCCCTCCATAAAGGAAAATCCAAGTCAAATATCATATGAGAAGGGGTTGGGGGGCTTTTGATTTATGTAATAAAAATCCAATATAAGATTGAAGCATTGTATTGTTAATAAACCATAAAACAAGTAATGATAATAGTCCACTTAGGATGAATTCTTATTGGATTCTCATACTGGTCAACATTTGTTTTCACAAATGTAATGACTATTTCCATACTTTAAAGTTTTCTTTTCACTTTTCTCTGTTTTGTCACCAAGTCCTTAAGTTCTATAAGAACCTTACTCTAACTTCTTTAGCTCAAGGAGTATTTAATTAATAATTGTCTAATTGTTTTGTAGACTAAAATTTATTTCTGTGCCTTGAAATGACATGCAAAGTTTCTGCCTGAAGCTAATTAAAATAATAATCATAACCTTATAAATAAGAGTTTATAGTGGAAATATTCAGATAACTTCATTTAATTGTTACATGTATAGTTGTCTAACATTTCTTCCAGGAAGATTTACCCAGTTATCTGAAATGGGGTCAATTAGAGTAAATTTTTATCTTGTGGTTACTTTTTTGGCTTACATATTGATTTCAAATTAAATGAAACTTAACCCAAAGGAAAAGGTAACACTTATTATCAGTTATCTTTGGAACAGGTATTTGTTGCAGCAGATTTTCCACTGTGTATAATTCCAACCTGTATCAATAAGTAACAGAGTTTTTTTCTACTTTTAGTAAACATACACATATCTACACTAGTAAAATAACCAACAGAGTATATTTTATTCCTAATAAATAGTCAAAGGAAAAAATCCTACTCRCCTCTAGAATTTTCTAATAATAGTAATCTTTAAAAATTTGATGTGCTTGTGAAGATTAGTCAAGTTCTTTTATAATAGCATTGCATTTCCATCCAGTGACCAAAACTGATTTAAAGCCAATATTATGAATGGGTCCCCCTTGCACCTGCTGACTTGAAAAGGGAATGCTTACCTGAAATCAGAATAAGGYATCCTTTCCCCTGTCTCTGTCAATATACAAAGGTTTCTGATGTATACTGATTTGAATGGCAGTTGAAAACATGCAAAAAAATTTAAATTATAGCCAATACAACACAGAAAATTAGAGATCAGCGTAAACTGTTGTACTTTTGTGATATAGCTACAAGTCTCAAATTATATGTCTTTACAGTGCAAATTAGWTGCTTAAAGCAGGATAGAAATTTAGGTATCAGTTACAAAGGAAATCTTATTCCCATGCTCAGTAGTTTACACCAAGAAAATGTTGAGGGCAATAAAATCATACTAAAGAGACCATAAACTGCACAAGAACAACATAACTTTTATGTGATTTTTGAAGTAGAATTTCTAGGTCTCAAATACATAGTTGATTTTTAATGCTGAATGTATAGTGAGTGGAGGGTTTATAAGTAAAACTTAAAGGCTTCTGATGCAGAAAATTATTGCATTWAAAAAAAACTTTCCCTGGTGGAAATTATCAGCAATATAGTATTAATAACAATGATACCATGAAGTGGTTAATGAGTAACTGGAAAATATAAAAAATACCTATTGATTAATATTTGAAGAGTTATTGTAATAATGCTGTTACTTCCACATTTGCTTATTTTAAAAGATTTTAAAATAAGCAAATGTGGAAGTAACAGCATTATTAAAAGCTTATGTAGCAATAACAGTGACAGATTTCAAAAATCACATTTTTAAAAAAATGTGATACTTATTATTACAATGAAATTTCATCTCCTATATTGTCAACTATCAAGTGTTTAGCCTTTTAAATCACTATCAACTGGATTAGCATTAATCTTCCTCAAAACACATCTCACAGCATGAAGTCTTCTCGGAATTCTTCATGCTTTTATACAGTGACCTGATATTTAAGAGAACCAAGGCTTTATTTAAAAGGTGAAATCTAGCCTTGTGAGTTACTTGCATATAAATTATACAAATTAATTATATCTTATGGCAACTGAAAAAATTTGAKATCTATTAAAAGTCATTTACTCTTGCCCTGTGTATGAAAATAGACATCTCATATTATTTGAAAATGCCAAAAAATGTTATGTAACCAAAATATCTTCTTAACCTACTACCAGATCATCTCAAATTTTACCACTTCATAAATTCCTTTGTGTTAACATAGTATTGACCCTCKGTTTCTTTTAGTTTTTAACACTGTGTTATGGACATTTTCAAACACAGACTGATGCAGAGAGAATGGTATAAGGAACCACCTATCAACCAGCTTCACTATTAACTTAAAAGTAACTCACATCTCCTCCCAGTTCATCCCCTTACCYTAACTAAATTATTTTGAAACAAACTTCTCATGATGTTTTATCCAAAAATATTCCGGCAAATTTAAACACTACTGGAGGAGAAACACATTGTCATTTATCTCAAAGCTTGTATTTTTTTTTCAATGAAATTTAGGACCATAAGAATGTTCACAAGCTTAAAAGGAAGAGCCATGGAAGAGAGTGGAACAAGAAAAGAYAGAAACACAGTTTCAACCATTTACTTTTCTGTTAAAGTTCTGTTTGGAATCTATTTAAAAATATTTGTCTTTAAATAGTATGCATAGGAAACATCTTTTTGGTATGCAAGCATATGAAGAAGAAGAAAACATAACATGAATAAATCTACTTCCAAGACAAATGTAAATTGCTCTACCCCAGTGGACTCACTGCAGGTACACCTTGCTAAAGTTTCAGTTTTAAGGATGCTCCTCCCATCTCATTGGCATTGTCCTCTATTTCTCATTCTCCTGTTGCTGTAAGTCCATACTTACTTTCTCCAGCCCTTCTCTTCACCTCTCTGCGGCAGCCAGGCTTTCTTGATTACCTCTGCATTCCCACTCTGTTTAGATCACGTCACTTCCCCACCAAATCTGATGGCCAATTCATAGTCTTCATCTTGTTTGACCTCTTGTCTGTCAGGGACTTGGCACAATGGACCTTACCCTTCTTGGAAACACTTTTTGCTTCCTGGACCTGTAATCTCTTGGTTTTGGTTCCTTTTCATCTCTGATGTTGTTTCTTCTTCATCTTCCAAACTCCAAAAGTAAGCATGTCGAGAACTCAGTCTTTGAAATTGCTCTTCTCTTTCTGTACTGAGTCTTGGGTTTAAATATCATTTCTGTGCTGACACCTCCCAGAACCTCCCTCCAGTCCTGACTATTCATTGATCTCAGAGAGTTCAGTCGACTGACTATTCAACATCTCCATTGTGGTTCCAAAGACAAAATGCACACTAACATACTCAAAGTCAAACACTCAATTTTATTCGTCAATCTTGCTCTTTTCACACTTCTTATCAACTCAGTTAATGGCAAATCTGTCTCCCAGTAGTTCAAGCTAATATTCTAGTGGTATCCCAATTCTTCTCTCTCTCTCACAGTCCTTTTATGACCTCTTTTGCCAGCACTCTGGCCCATACCAGAGTGGGCCATCTTTTGCTTAAACTCTTGAAAGCCATCTTTCCTGCTCCACAGTGCACCAGACCTACTTTTAAAAGATGCACCATGGGTCTTGTCATCCCCCCCACATAGAACTCTCTGTGGCTTTTCATCTCTCAGATTGAAGGCCAAGCCTTTTCACGACATTCAGAATCTCACATGAACTAATTCCTGATGACTGTCCGGCCTCATTTCCTTTCCCTGTCCTCTCTTTGTTCCAGCAGCACTGGTCCTTTCTGTGCCCTAAATGCACCAAGCATGATCTGCCTCTAATCTTGAATGTCCTCGTCCCTATCCCTGGAATACTCTTCTCTGAAATACATTGCTGATCCTTCTCCCTCATTTTGTCCCAGTCCATTCAGATATCACTGTATCAAAAAGGGCTATCCATTCCTCCCTGTCAATCCTACTCTGCCTCTTTCTTTTCCTTTCCTGGCCCTTTGCACCGCCGGGTACTATGTATTGCTTTGCTTACTGTCCTTCTCTGCTCCTCCTAATCCTGAAACTAGAATACATTTTATGAGGAAAGGTGCTTTGTTGTCTTCCTTTGATAAATGCCAATCATGTAAATGTACCCAATGCACATTTATTGAGGAATGAAACAACAAATAAGTAAATTTTGTCTCAA